GTCCTATTATCGTAATTTTCCTCGAATTCGTAAAAATTCGTAAAAATACCTGGAAAGAGGTTGGGTTCAAACGAGATGCCATTCGCGTTTCAGTATCTCGTACGAACTCCCAAATGTAATATATTCGAGTGGAAGATGGAGGCCTTAATGCATATGATCTAGCCTGTTCTCGTTCATACGTGCTCTTCAGGAACCGTTTCTTTGGTTTATGATTTTCTTTCAAGCGATCGAGTATACTTAGGGCAGACGAAGGAATTTTCGTAACGAATCAATAAGCTTGAGAATTACCATATTTAGTTGAGAATTACTATATTTAGAAATTTCATTAAAATTCCAGTGACTATGGTTTATTCAAGGATTAGAAGTTCAAACGCAGGATTTGACTGGTCTAAAAAGTTTCAGACGATAATTTTGGCATATGTCGCCTTGGAATAACTTTTTCCATTCTCATTTTCAAACGAACTTCACCGTGCTCGTTAATGGCAGTTAAAGCTCCTATTTCCATGAACAAACACGCGTAAAATAAATCGAGCGTGTTGTTCGCAACGTATGCAAACATGCAGAAAGCAATTACATTTATGTTTGAAATAAACGATATGAACAGAACACGTTCGCGTAATTTCGGTACTCTCAAAAACTAGTATTGTAGTAATATTTGTAGAGTAGAGTCCATCTAGCGCGACTGTACGTTAAAAGGCAAAGGGTTAATTGTGCCCATTTAGCAGCTTTTAAATAGCGAAGCCTTATCAACGCAATCCCTACAAATGCTTCAGTTTTATCGCGCGATCGGTCCATTTTAATCCGCTAGAATCACGCGAAAAGGATAAACGCGTTAACCTGTCGGAAAAAATCAGGAAATCGATCGTTTTTTATCATCCCTACTTCAATATCGTCCGTTGTAAAACGATTTACGATCTCATCGCGACGATTAATATCCCTCCAAAGAGGACTGACGATTCCATCTTGATTCTGGCACGTAGTAACCGCTGCTTTTTCATTTGGCAACCGCTCGTCTTTTCTCTTTCTGTCGCGCCTCGTCCTTTTACATTCGTCCGTCTCGCTCTTCGCCCGACGTTAGAGGACGACCTGTAGCGTTTCTATCGCCGATGCCAGACACGCTGCTGCCCGTTCATAAAAGCGGGAATCGCTCGAGGAACGTTGGATAATTGGCCTTGAATTTATCCTTCCCGTAAAGTGTAGACGTTGCGTCGTCGGCTGTTTCTCTTTCATTTCGAGCACTGTGTTTTCGATTTGCTTCCTTTAACAAGTTTCGGTGTCCGTTGATACAGGGATCATCGGTAATCGCCGCGAAGAAGTTAAGCCGTTCGCTGCGGGCTATACGGATTCGCTGTAACACTGCATAGACTTTATTTTCTTTTCGTCTTAATTTCACCATAGTCCGCTGCGAACTCGCTGCATAACTCGTGCGAGCAACTTTGAACATCGGTATTATATCAATGACCTGCCAAATCGAGAACTTACCCGTTAGATGATTCTGTAACCGTTGCCAGACCTCTGTCACCACAATTGTGGCTGGATGCTACGAGGCTAAAGTTCGAAAGCAGAAAGTCGTATTTGCAAGTTTCGTTTTGTCGATATCCTTCGTTCGTCGTTTTCTCTCTCCTTCTATTTCTGCGCTAACGAGACCCGTGCGAAACATTCTTTGACCCGCGTTCTCGTTCAATGTAACGATCCAACGACGTGCATTAGCCTGGAACGAGAAGCGAAATGGAAGAAAACGCGTTAGATTAGTCCGGTGCTGTCCGCAGGAGCCTTTAAACTCGGAAATTTAGACGTTTTTACGTACTCGCCCTCACTCTCCTCTTTTTCGTATACGCGGAGTAAGCTCGAATATTTTACTCGATATTTTGTTAAAAAGTCAACGGACTTACGAGGCTAAATTTTTCGCTTGCAGGAGTACGAAGAAATTTAGAAGTTTTGTACGTAGTCGGTTTCTCCTCTGTTTCACGTACGGGGATTTAAATCGGATATTTTACTCGATACGGGTTCGCGAATTTCTTTATTTTAAAAAGAGCAAATTTCGTTTGGAATAAATGTTACCGTACAAATGGTAAAAGAAGTATTATTTTATAATGTCTACATTGTATAAAAATTTGCAATTAAGATGGTCAGAGGAGCGCAGTCGATCGTAGGCGCGACATGGGTCGCGTAGGGTCACGAGTTCTCCTGTCGTGCTGTCAACTGGAAGGGGCCTTATCAATTTCAGATTTCTGCTAACTACGCTCGAGCACGTATGCATACGGAGCGTTTCAAAATGCACGATACAAGGCAATAGTACCGCCGAGTACAAAATAAAATATTCCTGAACTTTTAAACCGTACGAAGAAAAATCGTGAAATGGTTTCTGGTTTTCGAATTTGACCTGTATACGAAGAGGAATAGGGCGAGAGGCTCCTTGGACAGCACTAGTGAACGTCAGGGTTTAACGATTGTACACGATCTCGCAGATGGTGGTCGAGGTAGAGAATCGACGAAGAGCCGTGGTTGAGGCAAACTGGCATTAAATTCGCGCGGAAATGTCGATCGGAGTCGAGAGGCGGAGGAAAGTCGAAATCGAGCTCGTGCGTGGCTACGCGCCTTCATCGTGGAGAACAACGACCGTGTGGCTGGCTTCAGGCCAATACGTGTCTAGTTGAAGGGTGAACGTGAAAATCGGGTTGAAGTGTGGGGGTGGTGGACCGTGGAAGGGGGAGGAAGTGAAGATAGGCAAGTAGGAAGGAAGGAAGGAAGGAAGGAAGGAAGGCGAAAATCGTTGGTGACGAAGACGTTTCGTAGTGAAATACTCGTGCTTGATTATATTCTTGTGTGCGGTGCAAGATGCGCTCGCGACGCCGTGACGGTGGCTGAAGGACGAAGACGACGAGTGGCTCGTACAGCCCTCGATTCTGCGAGCCAGCTCTCCTTTTTTCCTTTCGTCTGGCCCGTGAAGAAATAAAGTGCGGTGCAGAGCACTCTTCCTCGCTTCGTCGCTTATCTCCTCGGCTGCATTGATCCGCCAGGTGAAACAGGTGAGAAGAATCCTTCAGTGAAAGAGCCGCCATCTCGTCGAAAGGCAGGATACTCGCGCTTTTTTCTTTCATCAATTTTTACTCCTTTCACGTATTCTCGTCATTGAAATTTAGAAATATTACCGGAAATTAACGTGAATTTATTCGTTCTTACACCTTACGAGAAACGATGCGGTTGAATTATATTTTAGATTAATTCTCGATACGCGTCTTGCTTTTAGTAACACCGAAAGGCCGGATTAACGTCATGCAGCTTGACGAGAAAGAAAGCGGTCGAGTTGCGCGTGATATTGTATTTTGGTACTTAGTGCCACGCCTCTAGAGTCCTCAGCGCACAAAAATATCGAACTTTTACTTTATATTGTACCTTATGTTCCTGAGCGACAGAGTCGTATAATATCTTGAAAATATAATTAATAGAGGTAGTTGAAAAGACTAGATGAAATTTCTAAGAAAGAAGATTGTTTCTCGTGGGGATTTTCATTGAATTTAGAACGGTAATCAACGCGACAACCTTTTAGGGTGTAATCGTGGCTGCTAGGCACGGGGGTAGTTAAGCGACGTTGCATAAAATTTCCGCGAAACTTCTACTTCTACCGAGAGAAATATTACAAGATAACTTGTTTACTCGTTACGGTATAATAAATTATATCAAAATAAATTGCATTTCATGTACAGAATAATTATTTGATTTCGTGTAAATATACAGTTTCAATTATTTATCTCGTGTAAATATTTTCTCCTGTCAATTTAAGTATTTTTACAAAATATAATGAAAGTTTATCCGTATGTTCATCGTCCAAGGATCAATTTTTTTGGAAATAGTCTGTCCTTCCGCGAAGTTTTCGAGTAATTTCTGTGCCACGGTCGCGCGATGTTTTCGTCCTAGCAGCTAAGATAACAAGGACGAACGAAATGGCCAAAGAGTTCGACACTTATCTTTGGTCGAAACGTCGGCTATTATTGCCCCGATATCTAGATATTTTTAAAGGAGATCAATAGCTCTACCGTTCCGTGAATTCTTCGAAACACGCGCGCTTCATTTCGTATGCGTATCGTTTCGAGTGTTTTTTTTTTCAATGACGCGGATCGATACTCATCTCGATTCTCTTTTTATACCGACTTGAATTTCATAGGTTCATTTTAGAAAATATCGCGGTTACATTTATTCGAGTTCTTCGGGATCGTTTCGAATGCATTCGGGTTCGTCATATTATTAGATAAGAAACACCCACTCGTATAATAGCTCTTTCCAAGAGAAACTCACAAATAAATTGAAGAAAATTCATCGAGATTTTAATAAACCCCGCGTTACCCTCTACTACCGATTGTTCCTCCCTCACAGGGAGGAAATTACACAGCCATCGATTCGATATTGATAATTATTATTTAACTTCCGTCCTCGCCTTTATCTCTCTCCCCGGTCGCTTTCATTATTTCCGTATGCTCTGGAAAGGTAGCAAGATCGGAAAGCAATTTCATCGACTTTCAATTCCGGCACGGCAGAGGGTGGCTACGATTTAACTGTCGGTCGTCGCGAAACTTTTCCGCGCGGTTCGTCGAAACGAAACGGTTAAACGAAGTTCGAAAGTCCCGCATTTCGACGAGTTTACGGTTTTCGGAAGCTAGACGACACGGGCAAAGCGATCGCTGAAAGCTGGATACTCGATGCTCTTCGGAACGCGCGTATACAGCTCTTGAAATAGTTGCCGCGAAGGCTTTATCGTTGAAACCTGTTCTTTCGCGTTCGCAGGGCCAGATCGCGACGAGAAAGGAAGAGAACGCGAGACGACACGGAGTCCCGAGGAAGCTCGAGATTCCCGAGAGTGGCAAGGAGGACGAGAGGAAGAGGTAACGAGCCAACAAAGCCCAGAGCCAGCAAGTGGAAGAGGAGGAGAAGCGTTTGTTAGCGTGGGAAAGGCAGAAAGGCGTGCGGGGCCGAAAAAGCCTTGTGAAGAAACTAAGGATTAGATGGTGGAGGTGTTCGAGAGGCGGGCTAGGGAGCCTACGGGGCCGATCAAGGCACCTCGCACCTACCCAGGCCCAGCCAGCTCCTTCGACCGCGTCACCAGGTTGCACTCGCGACCTCGTCAGCGGCTGCGTCTCTTTCGCGTTCCTCTCAAAGATGATCTCCTAGTCTCCGAGCTGCTGTCTCTCCTCGATCGTTACTCGCCACGGAAATCGTCCCGGGACTATTCGATCCTCGATCTGCTAGATAGGCTGGAGATCGAGCTGCTCGTTCGAACGGACCGGAAACGCGCCGCTGTTCGACGTCTGGAGGATCGCTCGGATCTCGCGCACGTCGGCCGAGCGTGCCAACCGGATCGAGAAAGAGTCGAGCAGGAAGAGATCGAGAAGAAGACCGAGGAGGTTAAGTGGTGCAGGGAAGAAACAGTGGTGCGAGAGAGAGGAGTGCTTTCGGCAAAGTTAAAGGTTCGGTTGGAGCCCAGGAAGGGCTCCGTTCAAAGGAACGAGACTGGCGAGCGCAATGTGGCAAAGCGGCGGCATGGGCGCCCATGCGGCCAACAATCCATGGATGAAATTAATGGGCATTGTCCACAAGGAGAGAAGGCATCACGACTCGGGCTCTGCCGCTGCCGCCGCTTCCGGTGTTCAGGGCTCTGCGACTACTGGCAGCAACGACCGGACGCTCAATCAGTGAGTCATACTACTTCCTTTCTCTTTTATCGCAAACTTGCGCTATTGTCTCGTTACCTGACCGTTACTCTTGCGCGATTCTCTTCCAACTTTCGTACGTTCACCCCGAATATTATTTTTTTATCCAAACTTTCGAGCGAGCACCATCACGGAGTTAATCCATTAGAAAACGACATCAATCGGCGCATATGCCGTACGGTGATCGGATCTCGTGTTCTGTTACGCTCGAACAGTTTTACGATCTCTCTGGTCGTATAGAAAGTTCGTTAAGCACGAAAGTGTTAAGGATAACATAAATATACGAGGATTAGGTGGACATTTTTCTACAACTCCGCGGGATTTCCTGAAACTCCAACCGCTCTCGAAAACTCGCTAGATATTATAGTTCCGAGTCACGGTCAGCTAACGGGCAATATCGTACGTAGAATAGAATTCGCTTCACCGATTTCAACGACCTTGATATATATTATATATCAAGAATATATAGGTCGTGGATAATTTTGTATAAACACGTAACCTCTGCTTACTTTTAGTAGAATAGGGTCTCGCTGATTTCGATCGCTGATCTGGATGTTATAGGAATTAACTAAATAGTAGTTAAGTTCGTATTAGTGCGACTTTAAGGAAGGCGATCGTACACGAAAAAGTGAGTCAAAATTGTGGAACGAATTTTTAACTATAACAAATATTCATTTGTTTAATTGAGAAAATGAAATGTTCTTGAAATAATAAAAACTCGAAACAATTATCCTTGCCTGTTGAAAAAGCTTGTTCCACAATTTCGACTCGTTCCAGTACTCGCAAACTTGTTACAAAAATCTCCGGTTTTAAGAATGCGTGGCATCGATTTTTTGCTTAGTTTGCTGGCTGGTAATCCGGTCAAAAAGATCCAGCACGTAATAAAACCGTAAAGAGAGCGCGTAAAAGTACACTCGACGGTGAAGCATTGTTTTCACGTGCTGACGAACAGTTCTATAACGTAGCTTATCGGAAGTAGCTCGTCGCGTCGATTGCATGGAAATATTTCTGGTCGCTTCGAGTATCGGGTTAGATTCGAGGTGAACCACGCGGACGAGGAAAAAAATCATCGATATCGGGGAGTGTCTCGAGAACAAACCTGATAACGGTACACAATGCTTTCCGCTTTATTCGCGAGCCACTAAGTTTTCCTTTCGATATCTTTTCCCGCCACTGTATCCAAATCCTGCCTCACACGTATCTCTGTACATTTTAACCAAATTTGCAACCAGCATTAAAAAATCATTAATTCCTTAATTGATACCTTGAATGGTAATTGACTGAAAGATAAAGATCTTGGACCACTTTGAGTTAGATTAGCGAATACATTTGTTTGTGTCGATGTTTGAAGGTGGTGTTAGGTTGCAGGATTTTTCGAATTGCTAATCTTTAGCCTTAGACGAGGTTAACAAGTACGAGGGTGCACATGATGGGATGAACGAAGACTTATCGGATCTTAGGAGAGAATAAAACAGGTCGTCTCGGAAAGTAACTTAACTCTCATGTACTCAGTTTGAACATGAACGAGCAGTGACACTGCCTAATTTCTTTCGTCACACAGTGGAGAGTTCAGGATATTATTCATTGTACGCTTATTAATTAGTAACCGGGGACTTTCCGATGCTATAATAATGGACAAATTCTGACCAAAAAATAGAGATGACTCGATGTAAAAATAATGGCGCGAATAAATGTGAAAGTATATAATTAGAAATAACGATTGACCTGCATACGGTTAACTCATTTTCCGAAGCGACTGTACAAGTATCATCGATTCGATTGATCGACGAAGCGTAAAAAAAATGTCGCTGTAAAGTTTGCGATGTTAATCGGTTAAATCTGGAGCAGTGTGTGCAGGGTCGAACTGTTAGGAGTAGGCGTATATTTGGCTGCTGTCGATTCTGAAAACTCGACGGACAAGCATCAGCCTCTTTGTTTTCCTTTCGCCTCATTTTCAACTGGTTTCGAGCCGACGTTGCCGTGCACGTTTTTCTCTCCCGGCACCGCTCTAACAATGCTTCGTCGCTTGCTGTGCCACCGGCTTTCGCAACCGTGGCCGTACACGAACGCGAACGTACACAAGGCACCGGCTATACACCGCGAGCGGAGCCACTCCGAGTGCAGTAGCGAGTGTTGCCACGATTAAAAGCAGCCCTATTCTGCGTTCTCGAAGGGTTTAGGTTGCGACCAGAGCAAACAAGAAGCGATACGCGGGCGGGAGAGAAGCGGACATCGCTCCTCCAACGTTGTTGACAATAGTTTTCTCTTCCATTCAACCTACTGCCGGTTGCGCGAGACCTACTTGTTTTCTGATAAATACTTTCCCTTCTGGATTCTAAGTCCGCTATTCAGGGGCTGTTTTCCGTCGAGCCATTCGATCCGCCGATGATTCAGCTACGCGACGAGTAATCGCTGTTCCTCCCGCGATGTCACGAATCCTACCGCGTTTATCGTTTTATAAACAGGAATTTAGTTGTCGCGACATCTAATTTTATGTCGCGATTTTAATAGCTGTGTTTTCGAACGGCAGCAAATTACTACTTCTGCCGTGACGATACGAAATATCGTTACCTTTATCGTCGTAAAAACTACAAGTTGCGTCGTCGTGACATCGGGTTTTATGTCACTACTTTAATAGGCACGTTATCGCTTGACAGTAAATCGCTACCTTTAGATACGCGAAATATTGCGATTGCTAGTGTCGTTAAAACTAGAAGCTGTATTGTCGGAACACGTGACTTTAACACTTTAACGAAATCGAATCATTTTGATCATCACCGAACAAGGTACTTCGTGACACGTTGCTGATTCAAGTATCTAATTTTATGACACGGAATATCTAGCTGAAAATGCCGTTGTGTCGTCACAGCAAAAACCGTGACTTCCAACGACATTTTACGTCACGGCAGTAGATTTACCGTCGGATGAAATCGTACGTTTGCAGCTGAAACTTTGAGAAGTCGGGTTGGAGTAGACAACGGTTTTACTCTCGGCTTTGAAGTCCCCTCGAAAGAATATAATATTATCGAAGCTGGATGTAGAATGTGAAGAGTACATGATGAACTTCGATTGATTTTTATTGCTTGGTAGTCGAGAGCGCGATAACGAGGAGAATTTTATTTTTATGCACGATAATGATCATCCCCAGTGTACCCAGAAAAAATATTAAGGTAAATTGTATCCGAGTTAATGGAAATTAATCAGTAAATAGCGTTAGATTCTGTAACGTTTTAAGTTATTTAGAAAAAATATCTGATAAATGTTGGAAATTCTCAACTATAGAAAATATTAATTTTTCAACGATTTTACAATGTTTTTTCATTTTACGAAGTTTAATAAGTTCCGCGAGCACGAGTTCGTATATTCAGAAGGTGGAGGACGTTTGCGTGGTCCTAGCCAAAAATTGGAGTCACGTACCGGGCTGGATCTTGTCGAGGACATTGTTTGAAAAGTGCACCCTATTATTTTTGCTCGTATAGGAAAAGTAGCGTGTTTCGTGCATAATCCTAGCATCTCGTTTCGATCGATTGATTCAAAATTGTATGGTAGAGATTGCAGGGCTTCTGATCCCGTATCGCAAGGAATTCCGAATCTTTATCGTTCGAATTAATTTTTCTATTATACGAATTTCAATTCGGATATCAAGAGGGAAAGGAACGTTGTTAATTTTCATTAGACACAAATCTCAGCTGTTTTCATTTAGCACCTGCCTTGCCACGATCTCTTGGGGTAAACTCATTAAGACTGAGGCACTAAAGGACAGCTAATTTCCTTTTTTGAATTTGCACGGACTCCGAGTTGTATTCTCTATGCAAATTCAACTCTTTGCCGGGCATCTTTCTCCAAGCCCCTTTACCTTCTGTAATCTTTACTTTAGAAACACGATGTGTTCTTGGATTTTTTCACTCGTGTAAAGCTGTCTCGGAACAGATATCATAACGATCTGACACTTTTCAACCGTAAAGAGCAAGATTTTCATTCCGATTCAAATCTCGTATTCGCGATTAATTCTTTCGCCATCGACATTTGACCACCGGCAATGTTTGACTTCGGTTAGCCATTTTTTATATTAAATCGAATTACCAGGGTAATCGACTGCCCGCCAGTAACTCAACGAACAGAGCTTCGGTTCGTAAATTCATTGTCAGTCTGATTGCGCTGGAAATTGATTACGTTATCGAAAGATTTCTCCGGATCGTTGTAAACGAAAGGAAGAAAAATTCTGGAGCTTTCAAGCGGATGAACGGCGAGGTTTTACGACCAGGACTCGCGTTGAAATTGAAGTCTGGTTATGGCCCTGAGTCAGCATTTTACGGACCCCCAATTTTAACTAGATCTTATAATCGACCTAACGAGCGTACGAGAAACAGTCTCTCGTAGCCCAAAATCCCACACTCGTTCGCGCACCGGTGACGCAGGTGAACCTTGCAGTGTGTCTCCTCGTACGTGCTTTGCTACTTGAAAATTTTCTCCTCGACAAGCGTGCGAAATCATTAAAAGTGGCGATTCACGTTCTGAACCGTGGAGCATCAATACCGCGTAATTAGTAACCGCGGCCAGGCATAATTAACAGAAACGTGAAAGGTCTTTCGCCCGCGTTTCTATGTCACGAACCCCGAGTAAATTGAAATTGCATCTAGTCCGCGAGACAAATGTCACCGACTTGTTTCCTCGGAGACAACCGCTCTACGAAACTGACCATCGGTGGTTCATTTGTCAAGGACCCCCAAATTTCTGCTTCTTAAACGACCTTATTTCCTGTAGTACTTTACGGAAGAGTATAAAACTCGATTAATCCCGCGACAACGAATTAATCGAACGAAATATGTATCGAATGCGATCGTTGGCGAGTTATCGAGGAGCCTGAAATTACGCGACGTTGTGACATTCGCTCCGAGAGAATTACCGCGCTTCGCTGTCAATTTATTCGTCCTACCCCGTGAAACGGCACGTACCGTATATTTGGGTCAAACGACGGGCAG